AAAAGTCTTAATATCAATGGTAATAGGTAACAATTTTTGACCATTATTTTGTTGAAGTTACAATAATCAATATACATTTACAAAAATCCATCTTTTTTCTTCATTAAAAATATCAATGTACTTTTTGGAAATTTCAAATATCAAATAAAGTTCTTTGTAAGATTTTTGTACATATAATTCTTCAATGTTAAAAGCTTGTTCTATAATAGGTTGTAGATTGGGCTGAATGGTGGTTGAATCCCTTCTTAAAGATCAATAACATAATCATATGATTGATGCTTTGGCAATATGTCAGCATTATTCTTTTTAAAGACATCTTGAACTCCTTATACTATTTTAGAATAGCTATTAATGAACTCTCTTTTCTATGAGCTAGAATTGCATAAATAAAAAATTGTATTTCTTTTTTAGTCACATCTATAAAAGCCCTTGCTTTAAGAAATAATGACTTTGTTGTTAATAACTTTTTGCAAGGTTTTGTCCAAAGAAATTCTATAGAAAATTCAACCTTATGAAACCTCCAATTTGTAGATGGATTACATCTCTTGAACCATGAAAGTCCTAGAATAATAGGATTTGATAAGAATCTAATAATATCAAATATTATTTTTCTAGTTTGACTTTTAAATAATATTTCTAGCAGTATCGTTTCATGAATAACATTGCCTAAAGATAAAATTTGACCATCTAATACTTCTACATGTATAAGTTTTAACTTTTGTATTAAAGAAATTTTATAAAGTTTAAATAATTCTTCATCTAAAAAGTAAGCAGATACTCTTGAATCTAATAAGGCATTTATTTAAAATTTTTGTGGGCCAAGAAATAAAAATATAATAGTACAACAAGCAAGTTGGAAAGAGAAAGAGAGACCTTAATGAATTTGAGGTGTTGAAATATTTAGCAACATATTCTCTATTATAGGTGGGCCTCTTTATTTTTTTGAACAATCACACTCTTAGTTTTGGTTGTATATTATTTTTTTGGACAATTTTCAAATTTATAGTCTTCTTTTTCACAATATAAACATGGATCTTCTTGAAATTGACACTTCTTCTTCTTTGTAGTAAGAGATTTGAATTATATTACATCAATTTGCATATCCTCAACTTAGAAGTGTAGAAGAAATATATTTGTTGAAGCAAAAAAGTAAAAAAATTCAATGCATTGCTTTATCAAAGTCTACAAATATTAATCTTGACAACATTGAAATAATCAATTATTGCACTTAACTGCTTGGCTAATAGCTTCATTGAATGTTTGAAGATTAGATAATGATCATAATAGATCTTTCACATCATCTCTTAGTCTCCAATAGAATTAATTTATTATGGCTTATTTATCCAAAATAATGTCACAAGTCAATTACCTAAAATTAGATTCATTAATTGATGCAAAATATAATCTTTGATGTAATAAGCGAATTTTTATTGTTATCCGTCAAGCCTTGTCATGTTCTCCAAATGCCTCTAAAAATACTTCTAAAAAAATTTCATGGATTGTTGAAGATTGAAGATCTCTTTTCAAATAAAAGAACGAATTAAAATAAGGCTTGTCGTGTGAATAAGGTTTCAATTAAACCAACAAACGACTCATTTATTGAATAGTATTTAGGTTGTACAAAAGTTATCAATCAAATTTGGTTAATAAACTCTTAAAACTTGCAGCTTGTGCCCTCAAACATTTTTGAAGGACTAATCAAAAGCTCTTCATGTTATTGAATAGGTGAATTTTCTTCTTGAGGTACATGAGCCATCGCCTCCTTGCATGTAGAAGCTTAAGAAAGTCGTTGTATCACCTTCTTAGACAACTTTTTTAATCTTCTTAGAATATTTTGGAATCTATTAGAATATTCTAAGAATCTATAGAATCTCTTATTAAAATATTCTAAAAATCTTCTTATTAGATATCCATAACAATCTCCTTTAATGTGTTTTATATAAGAGATTGCTAATATTTTAAGTTCGAATTTTTGAAACAACATGTTGATAAAGATAAATCACTCCAAAAAAGCTCATCAATAAAACTATTTTTTTTAAAATTAAAATCAAAATGTGTAATATAATAAGTATTTATCAAAATAATTGTATATTTATTTTTATTTTTTACCTATTCAATATTTAATATATCAATTTATGTTAAAAATTTAATAAAATTATTAATCATTAATGTAATAAATTATTTTTTAATGTAATTATAGTTAAAATTTTAAAAAATAAAATAAAATAAAAATATGTGATTATTTACTTATATAAAATTTTATAATTAGTGATGAAATTTTGTATTCTTTAATATAACACCAAATGCATTTTTTTACATATTTGTTGTAATATGCATAATCAACTATGAGAAGGTGAAAATATATAGATGCCTTTCTATGGAATGCTTAGACTTGGTGGTACTACATAATATTATCTCAATTTTAAAATGTATGAGTGTAAATTCTACTACAATCATAGAAATGGTTATATTGCTTGACTACTTTATGATTCTACATCAAATAATAATTTTCTTCTCATACGCCATCAATATTTATCATATGTCAAATGTAAAATTATACATTAAGTAACATTATTGTTGTCAACATTTTTCTTAATTGTTTTTTCTGTCTTTCAAAATAATAATTGACAATCATATATGATTAAATATTTTTGTAAAAATATATATTCAATAAATTTTGAATAGTATATATTAATTACATATGATTAATAAAATAGATGGTTTTAATCTAATTAATGTAATAATTTAATTTTTAAAATTTTATTGATATTGTAATACATTTGAAGCAACCAAAGCTTTAAAAAATAAAATATATAAATATTTTATATAATATAATTTTTTCATTTTCTTTTTTATAATAAAGATCAATTACTTATAGCTTTCTGATATTTAATATAGTATTATGTATTTAATAGAAGAGATTGTTAAATAAACCTAAATTTTTACTAAATTAATCTACTTATGATAAAAAAAAATATGGTAATCATGATAAGTGTGGTTGATCATTTATCTTATAAATCTAGAGATTGTTTTTTTTCATGATGGTTGGAATGGGTGGATCAATTTAGTAAAAGCCTAGGTCTATTTTATATTCTCCTAAATATATTGTATGAAATATTTTTCAAACAATGTGCACTTGAAAAATCGTAATTTATTTATCAAATAAAAATTGATTTATTTCGTAGTTGTAAATAAATTTTGAATTATCAAAATTGAATTAATAATTAAACAAGCTATGATTGAGTTATGGTATGAAAATTTAAATAATATCTGCAAAAATCAAGGCCAATTAGGTCTCATTTACAAGTAAAGGAGGTCTAATTGGCCTTGGATTTTTACCCTATGTGGCAAGTCTTGTTAAGATGGCTAGAACAAGTGATGCACTTAATATTAGAGAGCTACTTGCACTCCCAACAAGAAATGCAACACATCTTATTGCTTCTTTCTCCACAAGAAGAAGTGTTTCAACTACCTTCTTTATATTAATATATGAAATAAGATATTTTTTCAAACAATAATATGTAAAAAAAACCTATAAAAAAACAAAAAAAACAAAAATTCCGCAACCAATACAAAAAATTGAGGCTCATATTTATACTATAAAAAATAAAAATAAAAAACATAAAAACTTCTCTTTCAAAGGCTCAATTTTTAAAAATGTACCTTCTTAGGATTTTAGAGTACTTAAATACCATGAGACTTCAACAAGAAGTTAAGGACCTCCAAGACCCTCTTTCAAAACCTCTTGCAAGACTTAACACCAACATCTTATATTTGAGATGGCATCTCACCTCACAATACATCTTAACGTAGAATACTACATTCTTGATAATGTCATGCCCTTCCTTCTATATAGTATCATATGCAAAAGTATGATTTTTTTTTTTAAAAATCTTAAATTACTCTAAAATTTATGATAGAAATATAAAAATTTTAAAACATAGAAATCACAAAGGATCATCAAAAACAAATACAAGTAAGTAATGATAATATTTTAGAACTAAAAATGAAATTTATGTCAATTAAAACTATATTAAGTATGTAACTTACAAATTTTAATGATGGTGATTTTTTATAGAAACTTTTTTATGTAAAGATACATTTTAAAATATATAAATTTATAAACATTGAATTTTTTATTGCCTAATCTTTTTTAGACAACAAAATAATTATAATTTTTTTAATAAGATCAAACTACTTTGAATACAAAATTTAGCTTTCTAAAATGATAATATTAGTCAATTGGTTTGAAAAATCAAACCTTAAAATCTTTTTGAAAAATAAAAACATGTTTTACAATACTTTATTCATAATATGTTAGTTTTTAGGATATTAGAGATCATTGTTCTTAAAGATGAAAATAAAATTATCAATCCTTTAAGTTTTTTTAATAAATAATTTCTATATATATACAACAAATGTAATTTAAAGTTTAAAGTAAATAACATCAAAAGTTGTGTAATATAAGAAATGCAAGTAAAAATGTTTTTTTTATCTTATTTGAACATTTGTAAAACATTTGTGCTTCACAAAAAAGATTAAAACAGACCTTTTTAATTTTCCTTTGTCATGTATTTAAAATCCTTGTTATGTTAAAAGACACATGTAACTGAAACTCAAAAAATACCATCGGGTGATTATTTCAATTGGGTTTGAATATGTTTGGTACAAAGCACATCAATCTTTGAAAGCATTTGCAAGCATACATTAAAACTCTAATCTACAGATTACAAATAATATAATAAATTTAAACTGCATACTTTCTTCTGGTTAAATTTGCTTGTAAGCACGTACCAAAATATTGGAGGAACACTGAGTTGATTATTTTTATGATTCATATTTTTATTAACGTGAATTCTGTATTATCCCTTTGGTGAAGACAACGGTGTCGGCGGAGCATTACATTTGTGGTTTTTTGCCGCTCGTTTGTAAGTTTCGAACGAAGCTAATGTGTGGAGCGTGATTTTGCAGGCGAGGGAATTGAATGGTGCTACCGAGCTATGGCCATCGGAGGCGGGGATTTCCTTCGAAGGTTGCAGAAGGAAGAGGTGGCGCAACAAAGGCTGAGCCGAATCTCAAGGCGTCCTAAATACACAAAATTCTCGCAGCAAGAGCTCGGCTCGTGGAAGCCTTTGCCGACGCCGAGATGCATAGTTTTCCTCTTTGTGTTCCTCGGCGTCGCGTGCCTTCCCGTGGGATTCTACACCCTGCATGCTTCGTGGTCGATCGTAGAGCTCGTGTTTCGATACGACGTCTTTTGCATCATGAACTACGCAACCGCGGTGAATCCGTTGTTGACCAACCAGGACAAGTCCGATTTCATGCAGGATTTCGACAAACGAAAGAATTGCACCGTTACTATGAACGTTGAGAAACTGATGCGACAGCCGATCTACGTGTATTACGAGCTCGGAAACTACTTTCAGAATCACAGACGATACATGAATAGTAAGAGCGAGCAGCAGCTTCGGGGGTTTTCTTCTTCCTCCTCCTCCTCCTCCTCCTCCCATTCCGATCTCGACTGCTGCAAACCTAAAGACGTCGCGAATGGGCATAGCATTGTTCCATGTGGCTTGGTTGCATGGAGCCTCTTCAACGACACATTCGACATTTCCACCAACGGATTCTACAGCGACAACGGCACCGTGTTCATTAACCAGACATGGATCTCGTGGAGAAGCGACCGCGAGGAGAGATTTAATGGCACTGTATTCCCCTCAAACTTCATAAACAACAACCGCTCCACGGTGGCGGACGTCCCGCAAATCGGCGGTGCTGCCTTGAACTATTCGAAACCACTCAGCATGGACGAAAACCTCGTGGTGTGGATGCGCACGGCGGCCCTCCCAACAGTTCGCAAGCTCTACGGCCGGATTGAGACGGACTTGCGGCCGGGGACACAATTGATGGTGCGCATCGAGAATTTGTACAACACGTATGGATTTGGAGGCAGCAAGAAGCTGGTGCTGTCGACGACGAGTTGGATCGGAGGGCGGAACGACTTCCTAGGGTTGTCGTATTTGGTTGTTGGTTGTGTGTCGATTTTCGTGGGTTTCGTGTTTGGGATTGCGTATTGGAGACGTCCTCGGCCTTTGGGAGATCGATTGCATTTGTCGTGGGTGAAGAACAATCTCACCCCTTCCGCTGCCGCTAGCTTCGTCACCGATGATTGAAAAATATCGCTCTCTGTCTCTCTCCTTGTCTCACTCCCTGGCCTACCCACTCAGTCTTCTGCATAGTCCCATTTCCCTGCTCAGTCATTCACCGTCTTACTACTCTTTCCATTATTTTTTTTTTAAAAGAAAGAAGTTCTTATAGCAAGTCTTCATATCAAATTTCTTTCTTTGCCTAGCCCTAAATCCTATATTTGAAATAATGGTAAAACGGTTAAAATTGATTCACTTGGGATGCTCCTTTCGTGCTTCTGTTGCCGTTATATATGTGAAACCTCATTCTTTTGACAATCAACTGTTCTGACATTTCACTTCACAATCAACATTTTGAATTACAAATTTATAAGATTTTTTTCACACACACACACACATACATTACATATGTATATATATATTCCACGTCAAACACTACTCAAAGTTAGGTTTTTATTAACATTACCATAATTATTTTCCACGAATGTATGATAGATTACGTCATGTTTGTGAAGAGTGTTAATTCAAAAAACGTCGGTGCGAATAATTTTGAAGATGCAACTGATCAGTAAATACGAGGTAAAGTGAATGTTAACCATGCAAATCACACTATAGCTTTTTACTTTAACGTTTTCCTATTTATACACACGTTTTTATAATATCGATATTTCGGCATTCCCTTTGATGTCGTTTTGAAAGTCGTACGCAAAGCATGCGAAATCAGAGGCTCTCGAGCCAACGATTGGTAACCGGGTATCTAGTTGTAGGCGGCCATCAACTAGGAGGTGAGGGGGCAGTCGATGAGGAACGAACAAGAATTCACGAAGCTCAGACTTCTTCAACCCTACTACTACGCTAGCGGGAGACTTGTAGCAAACGTCGTTGCCCTCCTCCAGTTTCCAAAGTTAGAGATGAGTCTGGAGTTGTGGTAATGAGTGTTCGGTCCTGATTTGGGGTGGTGTCTTCGACGTGTTTGTCGATTTCCTTTTCCCCTCCAGACTGTGTTGGCCTTGTTCTCGACGCTTGCTCTAAGAAGACGAAGAAGACCTGACAACCATCGTTCTGTTTGCTCCACAAGCATTGTGAAGTTCTAGGTTTGCACTTGTTGCATCGAGGTTGAGAACATTGCTTTTCCAGTTTTGGTGTTGGTTGCTGCTGCCCGCAGTCAACTTCGTTGGCAGAGGTGATAAGTGCTTTTGAGGTAGAGAGGAGGGAGGGTGGGAGAGAGAGCGAGGGAGTGAGCGAGAGAGAGAGAGAGAGAGAGAGAGAGAGAGAGTGAGAGTGCAAGGAGATGGAGGTGGCAGGCACGCCAACATCGAATCAGGTTGGCTCGAAAGAGGTAAATTATTTTTGGTAACTTCAGAGGCTAATGGCGTATGATTGGGTTGAGGGGAAGGAGGAGGTGGAGAGGAACTTCCGACGCGTGGAATGTGGAATGACAATGACGATGCTTTCATGTCGTTACACGATCTGTGTGCTGGCTTTGATGCAATGTTGTTTGTTTTATAATGCTGCCAATTGTTTCTGTGGCTTTTGTAAATCGAAGAGTCATTTCAGATAGCTTCTTATTCAGGGTTTAGGAAGAAATCGAGAGATACAATGTTGACAATGTTCCCTTCTAGGATGCAGTCTCCCCCCAGCTTTGAACGAGCTTTACAAGTGGCGGGGTCTAGAATGAAGTGACGGAACAGCAGTAGGATTGGGGATGGGGTTGCTGACGGGTTTCGCGATTTGTTTGGACCAAGTTAGTGCGGACTGTCGGTGATTAGAGCTCTGGGGGGGATAGCGGACGTCAATCGATAGATATGTTGAGTTCGTCTTCCACGGACCTAGTGAGCTTTAACGTGTATGTTCGTGTTAGTGTTGAAGCTGATTTTGAATTTTGAGAATGCACTGTTAAGGTTGCTGGAATGGTTAACGAGCGGAGCGATGGAGTGACGTTCCGTGGATTGTGAGGGTAGCTATTTTGGCTTTGGCAGTGAGCGAAGAGATGGAGGGACGTATCGCGGTGATTGTCGTCGCAGCGATGCTGTGGTTGTGAGCAAGTTGTTTCATTGCCCGGAAAAGGAGGTCAAGTCGTAATCCGAATGTTTGAGATATTTCTCACAGTGCAGTGGGTTTTCAAATAGCTTCTCTCTCTTTCTCTCTCTCGGTAACACCATGAGAGTGACGTCCCTTAAGGTTACACAAGGGTGTTGTGAACGTGCCGAATTGTTTTGCATTTTTTTAATTCATTTTCAACCCTACATAATATTCTTGCAGGTCATCTTGTTGAACTTCAATGTAGTAGCACAATATTATAATCTCTCTTCCCGCCTATTTCAAAATTAGGGGATATGTGTAGTTCTCTCACGAAAGTACCACACATGTCAATGACGCTAGAATATTTTAGTATCGTCTGAGGGATAGATCCAGATTGCATTATAGTTTGCAAGTGGAATGGAATTGTTTGTAGGTGCTTGTTATTATTTTTAATATTCTAATAGGTACTGATACTTATCTCTGAAAGGAGCCGTATTGTATCCTGGGTTCCTGGTTTTGGCCTTCGTTAAGTTCCGGTGTTCGTTTTTTTAATGAGTTTTGTTCGTAAATACTTACTTTTCCGTGATTTAGCATCGGTAATCTGTTACGGTTACCTATGCTTGTGATCACTTCAGCGAAGTTGAAGATTCACGAAGCAATCACTCCCAGCCATCGAGTCGATTATCATGCTTTGGGTGCAATCAACGTCATGCTGCACGATAACTCGTGTCCATCTTTCTTCGTTCTCCGATAGTTTGTTTACAGTAGGGACTCAACGATTTTGCTCTGTTTAGAGTCTCGTATCTGCCAGAATGTTTGTTACTAGAGGGTGTGATATACTTGTTGTCGCTGTATTCTGGTATGAGGCAAGTACTATCATCTGCAACGGCCTGTGCTCGTTCTCGATGGGTTTCTCGCTGGCACCCAAGCTGGTTGATTCCGAAAGGTTCCTGGCCTCAATCTAACAAGATTCTCTGTCGTCGTCGAAGTCTAGAAGACTGAAGTTTGTACTCATCTTGTGCCTTTGTTGAAAACATGATGCGATTTATCACAAATATTGGACACGTGAACGTGTAGTCTTTCTGGAAACACACTCGTTAACGCAGTCAATCGTAATGCAGTCCCCTGAAGTCATGACATGTAAGGCCTTGATGGAGAACCTTTTGGTCATAAAAGGTTGATTAGTTCTTTGTTTGTTTTGATATATTCTCAGCAGAGTTTTGAGTCAACAGTACCAGAAGGTTCGTCGCAAAGTCCTCGGGATCCCTTAAGGCCATCTAGCGATGGGAAATTTTGGAGCTGGAGTACATTCACAAACAGAGCTAGGGCAGTGTTCCTGGAAGATGGGGTTCCCACTTCTGTACAAACTGTCAACGGATCTAGGAATGCTGTAGAAAGTCCTTCCAAAGTTGAACAGGTTTGTGTACTTTCTTGTCAATATCTCTATCTCATCCCTCCTTGCAGCGCACTCTATAGCAGGCGCAGCGGAGGGTCATTTTATGAAAGAATATTACGAAGGCTTCACTTGACTTCTGTTGTATCCCCTTCCGACGATTTAAGGATTCTGGAAACTCAGCGGTAATGCCAGAGAAATGAGTGGTTTAGAAGTGAAACTTCTAACGCTCTCAGATTTTTTAAAAAGAAACTAAAAAATCCTTGTGGATTTTACTGCGAACTTTGTGTAAACGGTTTTGTAACATAGCATTGTGATGCGAAAGATTTTCTTGCTGTCGTCTTTCAAAGAGCATGCTTAATGTTCTTTCGGATTGTGTGGTGCTCTTAAACACCTGGACCGAGATTCTGTATTCTATATTTTGAGCTTAGCAAGAAGTAGTTCCAAGTCAATCGGTCTGTACTTGAAACAACCAAATTAGAACACAAGCAAGGGCGTGCCAAGATTTCTGTTTGGTACTGTGCTGGGCATTTCTAACAATTTGCTGTGTATGTACAATACTTTTATGAGATTATTTTATCCTTCTTCCTTATCAGCCAACTCCCGTGGCACACGAATCGTCTTAGAATGCGACATGTTCTTTACCGCACACAGCGCGAGGTTTTCATTTCTTCACTCTAAGGGAGTGAATACTTTTGAATTTTACCCTGGAATTCGAAGCCTTATATGACTGAGAACAGATGTCGGTCTCCTTATATCCTTCGAATGTTATCATCACTTAGGTTGACTTTAAATGGCTTATGAGGTTATGGCGTTTATTCCAATTCTGAACTTAAATACCGTGAGGTTGGATCTCAAAGTTATTTTGTGTAAATATTTTTTTGTCGGGACGCTGTACATATGCGTGACATTTTCGAGCTATACACACAGTCCTTTGGGGGTGAGGTGGTATTGTTTATCCTGAGGTTCTTAATTGTTCGCGGTTTTTCTTTTCCTATTACAAGAATTTTTGCTTTCTCTGCGCTTCGTAGGCTCTCTTCATTCATCTTGATTTTCTTTGGCTCTTCTGGAATCGCTACAGAGAGTATGTTTGTGGGGTGCAATGTAGGGGCACATGAAATCAATTTGGTAGTAAAATGGAGGCCTTGTTACTCGACCTGTCTGTGCCGGTTCTGGAGTTGGTGAGAGTCGATTGAATATAATTCCCATAGACTTTTCTTGTTTGGGTCCACTTTGGTTTGTTTCATTGACTTGATGTTTCTGTTTCAGTTGCCGACGTTCCTTTTTGATGCTAGATTTATCTTGTACCACTTTCTTACTCCCTGTTGGTCAGATCTCAATCTCTACTTGCTTGACCAGTTTTCACTTATGCAAATCCTCCATGTGATGGTCAATGTGCAGCGTCTGTATGTCAGTTCTTCTTCAAGTGTCTGTAAATCACTCTTATTGACTTTTCTGTACTAGATCTCTTCGATTTTCCAATAGTTTACTTACAACACTTACGCTTGCGCTTGGAATATCTGACCTAAGTTAGCTTGTCGGTAATGCATTGCGGCAGGACAGTGTCAAGTGGTGTTTCTGCACTTTAGTTTTCATGTTTAGATATGATTTTATGGTGGGCTATGTCACGAGAACAAGGTAGCTAGCACACAAAGGGTCTTCACTTCCTTCTTTCGTTGATGATTATTGTGTGAATGCATTTCCCCTGCAATTTTCAAAGCATAGTTCTATTTTCTTCTCCCAAACAGAAGATATCTCTTTTGTCATGGTGGCTTCTTAGCCGAAACTGTTCTCTCTTCATGTCAGTCAGAGCACACTTGATCAACGTGCGGTGTTCAATTTTAGGTGATTGGACCCCAATACGTACATCGTACATTGGAAGATTTTATTGAACCTGTGATATGTTGCTGAGAGGGTTTGGCGGAAAAGTGCAGGCTCCTGATGTGAAGCAAGCCGTGGGAGGAAGTGCGGTGAAGGGATCAGAAGGGCCGATATTGCAAAAAGGCTTGGATGCTATTGCTTCCTCTCTGAGTCTTTTAGGTGATACACTTGGGACTGCCATCGAGGTGCGACGCAAATAGCTGGTTACCGCAAGTTGTTTGATATTATGAAGTAACTGGCAAACTTAGAACTATTAATTGGATTATGTTTAGTAGAACTATTATCCAATTGCCAATACATTACTTAGAACTATTAATTTAGAATTGTGTTTGGTAGGTGTGAAAGTGGGAAGAGTAAATATCTTGTGTACGTGGGTAAAATGTACTGATATGCAATTTGCTTATATATTTTGATAAATGTTCTAGCTGGTGATCAGTTAAAATTGGACGGACAATGGTCCTCATCATTAGACGTCCAAATAATTAATTGGATCTTCAACTAACTTTTAGAAATGATTTGTGAAATTTGAATGTTACAGGAGGGATTGAACATGGTGGAAACAAAAGCCACTGAAATTCTGACACCAGAGACACGAACTAGTGCTGTGCGAAAAAGTGTGCCTCTTTGGAAGAAGTCGCCTTCTATCAGTCCTTCTGTTTCTTTGCGAGTTTCAGGCGAGAAATCTGATGGGGCTGGGAAAGCTGACGAATCAGGTCTACCTGGAGATATACAATTAAAAGCTTCTCGCGACGTATGTTGTAACCTTTCCTAGCAATATTTCACCTTTTTAAAAGCATTCTTTCTATTTTTACGTTTACGGTATTTAGGATAAGTTGCTACACCGCTACATTCCCTCAAGACTATTGGGCCATTGAGTCTCTTTAATTTGAGTAGATTTACTGAGCCCCTGACTAGGATTCTTAGGAAATCAAACCAACCTGCATAGTGTGTTAAACTGCATCGATCGGCTGTACATCAGTCTTTGGTTGAACTGGTTAATTGGTTGATTTCTAGTGAGCAATTTTGTGATTTAGGATATCTCAAATGTATTTCTCATTCACATGAAAGGTCCATAAAGTGAGGAATCAGGTTACTCCACCTAGCAGTGCACAGAAGTGAGCATGAAGTCGTTATTATGTCACACGAAGGGTCTTAAGTAAAACCGTACCTGGAAGTCCTCAGGAACGACATGTTCTTAACATATTTTCCGCTTGTCCTCAGGTAGCAATGGCTATGGCATCGAAGGCAAAGATGCTGTTACGGGAGTTAAAAACTGTGAGGGGAGATTTGACGTTTCTTAGGGACCGTTGTGCACAACTTGAAGAAGAAAACCGGCGACTACGCGAGAGCGTGGTTAAGGGGACAAGACCAGATGAGGATGATCTGGTATGTTTCACTTTCTATTTCTGGTTGTGGCAACATAAGCTACTGCATTATTCCTCTTTGCAAGTTTTCAGACGTTTGTTTATTATAGCTGTGCTGATACTGGACTTTTCTTGTACCTTGAAGCTATGTCATACTTAATGTTTGTAGTTGGTCTAAATCATTGTATGGACTTGTGGTTTTTCTCTTCTTCCCTGCAGGTGAGACTTCAACTTGAAACTTTGCTCGCGGAAAAACAGCGTTTGCAACAAGAAAATGCAAATTATGCTAGAGAAAATCAGTTTTTGCATGAAGTCGTGCAGTATCACCAGATCGAGTTCAATGAAGATGAATTGAGCGTTGATGGGCCAGATGGTTTTGACATGAACGATGAAGAAGTTGACCAGATGGTGACAATGGGAGTGCCTATGAGGAGGAACTAGGAGGATAGTTCCATCATATTTGTTTTGTGCTGTGAAGCTGCGAATGACCTGATATTCGTCATTTCTTTCTTTACCAGACTCCAGTCCGTACAGAATTTTCATTTTATGTGGCAGGCGGAAGTAGCTTCTGCTAAGATTTAGCAACTTAGTTTGAATTAGTCCACAGTACTTAAGGTGTAGTTTCGAGTATTGAACTGGATGGATCCATTGGGACTGTTACAAACATCTACTCGGTTCCAGCAATGAAGTGTACTATAGGCAGCTTAAATTTTGCTCATTGTTGAGACCCTGAGTGAACAAAAAAGTGGTCTTACTGCTACTTGTGGGGGCTTCACCTTTTGCTTAACATGTCTTTCGCTTTGAAAGATGCGACCTGTACGCTATGAAACACCAAAAAGTGGATATCTTGTAGCGATGAAGCATTCTAGGTAATGCATGGCGTCTATGTGTCTAACCATCATTTAATAATATGGACCACTCTTATTGCTAAACAATAACATATCTCAGAAGGTCACAAACAAGCGAACAGGGATAGAACCTATTGAGTTGGCATCAAAAAATAGAGCAGCTACTCTGACAACTTGTTACTACAGCTTGTTAAAAAATCTTAGAATAACTTACAAGCGTGAGCTTTCCCCAAAAGGACTGAAAGTACCCTACTAAACTTCCAGTCTTTGCTTACAACAAACTGAAAGAGTAATGTCGCAACTGTACATAGCTGCAGCGCTTATTTTGAGCTTAGCTAAGTGCCAGAAGAGGAGAATCAAATGTATAAATAAAAAGCGCTGCGTGCTACAAAAGAGTATTTGCGTCGAACATTCACCAGCAAGCTCATGAACCCTACAGCGTCCATTTAAAGACTAGTGATGGCAAATTTCGAATCAGTCAGATTTCCAATTAGGTTACGAGAGCAAGTCTGAAATGAGTAAATCCTGAGACCAGTTAGCATGGTCGCCATTTTAAGCCCTGTCGGGCTTCGTGAAACTGAATAAGGTTAGATCATAGCTCTATGACATGGCAGCTTAAAACAACGTCTTCAGAATCTGGCAAACCATTGATTGTTGATGCCACTAACATTCCACCACTAACAATGCCAGTCTTTTCGGTGTTCAAAACAAGCGTCTTCAAACCCCGGCCGACGACGTACAAGTTCTTCTCTATTGCGGCGAGTCTGCAAAACAGCACTCCATAAGTCCAACCGACAGGTATCTTACATAAGTATACACAGACACTGGGTACTGTAGCTCGCTAAACATATGGTATGTAAATCTCTCACAGTCTAAGAGAGGAAGATAGCGTCTACACAAACATGTACAAATTCGAGGAGAGTCTTGTGCCAGCTGACCTGCAAGGCAACCTGATGGAATGTGGCGAGAAACGTCCGATACGACCCCATTCCCCTGACTCCTTGTCCAGCACCATGAGCTTGATACCGAAAGATTGATCAAGCATATACACATCATTTCCGGTGACGGCTGTTGGGCCGCACCACTTTTTCATCATATCGTTATCAACAGCTGCCCACGAACTCTCAACAGGATCGAACACTGCAGCATATGAACCCATATAACCTGGACAAGCGCTCACATGTCGTACATAGATCTTACCATCCATTACAAGTGACTCCCCCAAGTCAGACACAACGTTTGGATCTTCTCGGAAAAACCATTCGTTTGTCTCAGGGTTGAAAACTTCCCAAGACGTTAAAGCAGAAGAGGTGACACCCATACCCCCAACAGCGTAGAGACGGCCATTAAGAGCACCGCTAACAAAATAGCAGCGGGCTGTCTCCATTGCAGCAGCTTCTGTCCACTCATTTTTCACTGGGTCGTATTTGTAGACTTCGGGGCTAGGAACGTGAAACTTACCGCCCCCGCCCATGACGTAGAGTTCCCTTTCCACGACTGAACAAGTGACACCATATCTGCAACCACCTGGACATCTTAGACGACGATATCCAAGCATGAGGAAGGCTAGAGTAAAACATGCAGTTGCACTAAACCAAACGAAAACCTCCAACATAGACTTTCGATAGAGCATATGATTTAAAACATTGCGTAGTTTAAGGAATTAAAAGGATGGAAACAATGAGGTGAATCGAACTGTGACAAGATACCTTACCAATCTTCGACAGGTTTTTTTCTACACACTCGAAATTCAGAATAGTATGCTGAAAATAAGGACATATCCAAGGAAACAAAGCATATGTTCGCAAATTCAGACCACCTGTCTACACGGAAATGATTCTTGAACGAGCACGACTACGCATATCTGCCGTAGTTCAGAAGCTTGGACCACTATTTGAGGAAACTGCAAAACGATTCAAACTTCTGAACTATGGAAAATATGGCCTAAGCTGGGCAGAAGTATGAATAGATGTTTGAAGTGGTGGCCTTAGACACATGAGTACCAAACGCTACCAGCAACTCGAAACTCAAATTAGGAATCAGCCTGCAACCTATGCCATGAGAGTAATTTCTTTCTACTCTCCGAAGTAATCGCGTTCAAGGATTGCAAATTACCTGCGTAAGCAATCGCCGGGCATGCTAGGAAGCTCCTTCCACAACCGAGTAACTGGATCCAACACATGCCAGTGCAAGCATTCAAAGTAATCCCGGCTGAAAGCATAGATCCAACCTTCGGTCAGCTTCAATCTCTTTCGTAGAGAATAGTAGTACTCACTGGCAATCATATTGCGCCATTCTTTACACACACATCGTAGACTCAAGTGATGCCTCCGTGGTACTCGGGCCAGACACTGCAGGGCTAGGTCGTTGGGTAGGCCAGGAATGAGACTTGTTGCTTCACATTCAGCATCTTTGCTAGTTACACTCTGAGAACTCTCAACATTGGTTTGTACAATTTCTTCAATATATAAGGCCGAAATGCAATCATTTTCCACTGCCATGGCCTGCATCATTCCATATTCGGGACAAAACAATAGAAAACGCCTGAGAATGGATAAAAGCATTTGAACACAATGAAATTCTTCTCAACGATGTAGTTCTGCTTCAGAAGAAATATACACTTGTGACAATAGACGCTATCATTCTGGAACAGTTCTCACACCAATTTTATGTAGACAAAATAATGTAAATTCTAACCACTATGGCCAGGATTCTACTCCAACCTGAGCAAGTTATGAGGACATCCAAACAATAAAGGCAAGTCCCAATAGTAGGTACAGAAAAATGATAGAAATACTAGGGGTGGCACGACCCTGCACTAATGTTCATTGAATTATAAACTTAAGCGATGGTTGAGTATAATTGGATATAATAGTAGAATTCAAAGCCAAAGCCCTATTGGTCAGCAAAAGATGAAATACGGAAGAAGGTCGGACAGCTTTTTACATTTGACCCACACATCATCATTCGTATCAGACAGCCAAGCTTCACACTGAGATCATTAAAAGCACTCAGTACATAAACAAGTCCATTGACATACCCAAATAACAATGATAAAAACGATGACATAATCGATCTGCATAGAAAGACTTAGGGCTGACCAGAACGCTCATGGATGGCCAGTTCTCGACATCTACTCTCGGTCTTGATATCATTTACACCATGTACCACCCACCCAAACTACCCAACTACTTTGCTCTCGAGGTTCAAACTGTCCTCATCAGTGCAAAGTAGAACAAGCGCACAATGCTGTAAGTTCTCTGCAATCCTAATGGATCGAATAAGCGACTGAAAATCACGGCACCGCCTCACGCATCCTTAAAGTACACAACCCCATCAACCCCAACTTGCTAAAAGGCGATTCAATATCCACTTCGGAACTCGATTCAATTTGAAACGCTCCTTAATGCACCACAAATTAGCCTGCAATTCCTCGGTCGAAGCAACCAAATTCCTCCCGTTACAAAGGAAGAGGAAATTCTCCAGTGTATTCCGAATTTCGAAATGAAAGTGAAAGCGCATGAACAGATCATAATGGCAAAATGGCAGACATTCCTAACCTTAAGTTAGCAACACAAATTTTCTCTTGATAGACAGAGAAGAGGCAAGGACAAAAAGTTACGTGTCGATTTCATCATCAACAGAAGACCCATCTCAAATTGAACCGCATGCAGCTAATAAGATAAAGGATTGCACTGAAATTCTATGAACCCAAGTCCTGAAAGCAAAGACCAGCACAGAGGACAAACTTGCTTCCATAACACAATTTGAATCCTAACCACGAGTTCGATCCCACGATATGAATTCCAGAGTTCATTTAGAACCCGTTAATCACAAACACCCAATAATCAAAGCAGCAGAAAAATTCGTACCGCGGTTGATGTCAATTGCCGCAGAGAGATACAGACCTAATTGCTCCGACGATACAATTCCTGCATAGCGTGCACCACATCACCGTCCGCCTCCCCCTCCTCCCTATCCCGCTGCTTCCCCCACCCCGTCCTCTCCCTCGCACGCCGCTCATCGAGAGGCCACCACCATGCTTGCTTCTCCCCCAACAACTCCCCCCCCCCCCTCCCCTCACATTGGATCCAAGTGCCAACCCCGCATACCCTAAACCTCTTCAGACGCCAACAAAACTCTCGAACCAATAAATCTCGCTCACTCTCTCTTGGCACACATCTCAGTGCCACAATCAGCACCGCTCCTGCCGCAATTCACATCGACCTAACCCTCGCCCATCGACAAGCCCAAGCGCAAGCGCAACGCTTTCGTCCAACCCACCCAACGCTACAATCCACAGAAACCCAACTTCTGAAACCCAGACATCGGCGCAGAATTGGGCAGCAAGGCGGAGAGGACAACGAATTGCGAGATTGAGAGGAGCAATAGGCGGTGATTGATCGACAGCGAGAGAGATGCGGCATGCCGCTAGGCAGCGATTCGATGCCGTGCAACGAGACTCGCAATGGCAAGGCAAGGCAAAGCACGCTTTCACTGATCTTGTGCCTTTATCTGGGTCCGTCTTATGCCTTCGCCACGGAAGAAAGGAAGGGTGATTAACCCTTGTGGCCACACTCATGTGGGGCTTGTGGGGCTCTCCCTTTCCGTTTTACTTTTTCCTTTCCTTTCCTTTCCACTATGGCCCTCCTCACTCTTCCTAATTTGGTTGTTGACAATGATAGGAATAAAGGTTCTCCTCAACACCCACAACCTTCTTGTCCTCGTCACCAAACCTCATGCATGTGTCCGAACATCACATCCAAGTCTTTCATTTCAAATGTCTTGTGAAATATATATATGGTAGAGTGTATTTCATCTGGATGTTGTGTTTTCAAACTTCAACTTCAATTATTCTAATACGTGATTTTAGTATAAAATGTCAAGTTATATATATATATATATATATATTAAATGAATAGTATTTTCTATTTTTATTATTATGCTGATATTATTTATTTGAATAATTTTTGGTTCTCTCTTTTAATTTAATTTTTTTTAATCTTATATCATTTTATATATATATATATATACACACTTTTTATCAAAAAAAAAATCCATATATATTATTTGCATTAGGGGCCTTTGTTTTAGAACTGCTTGCACTCTCATATTTGATTGTATAAAAACTTCATTTTAATTGCATGTAACCTCTTGGTCAATACAAAGATATATACATCTCTCTAATTTGTATTTATGTCTTGAATAATTTATATATATATATATATATTGTAAAACATAATAAAACCAACGTAACAAGGGAAAAATGAAAGTAATACTAAGAACTTCTAAAGTTGTAATAAAGAAAGCAAGATAAATTAATTTGCATTTTTTTATTTTTAAATACCAAATGCCATACTAATTGAAAGCATAAATAAGATATGATAGATTTCTTAGTAAATCATGATAATAAAAACAGTACATCTCTTAAAAGGTTTAAATATTTAAATTGATGTTCATTTCTGAAAGATTGATTAAAATATATCTTCATTCAATTGATTGGCATTGACACAAAATTTAAAGAACTACAAATAGACTACTTGTTTTGATTATCTTTTTTTTAAGGGCAATTTGACTTATGTATGGTTGAAATTTTTCTTTTTGAGGTTAATTGAGTAATATTCTAAATAAAAAGAAATATACATATATATATATATATATATATATATATATAATATGACTCACATTTGTTTCAACTTAAGTTCACAAATAAACTTGAAAAGAAAAGAAAAGAAAAGAAAAAATCAAATTCTATTAAGATGTTTTTAAAAGAAGTATGCTTTGTGTCTTACAAATTTTTTTTTTCTTGATGAGATAATTACAAAAAATTAAGTTCATGCAATTGAAAATAAAAATAAACTTATACAAATTTTACAAGAATTAACCTTCATAGTTATAAAAAATAATACAAAAAGGATTTTAGAGAAAAAATCATAAATATATTTGCTTACCAATACATATCAAAATTGATATGCATGTGATAATAATAATTTCTTAGATATCATAAATTTTATAAATAAATACTTTGAAGTAATAACCTAAATTTTTGTAAAATAACTTCATTAAAAGTGTGTGTGTGTGTGTTTTTTTTTTTTTTTCCTTTCCTTTCCTTTCTTTCTGTTTCTAATATTTTTTGTTTTTTCTAAATTATTCAAGTATTTTGTTTGCCACTCATTTTATATATTCAATGACACTTTGTACTATCAGATTTGTGCATACACTTTAATAACTATTGAAAATTTCGGTCATATACTTTTTAGAGAATAATGATAAAAATTTGTGGTTATATTAAATCCAAAATTAATCATAAAATCCCACATTATAACAAGTGGTACCGAAAACAATTGTAATTTGTACTTAAGTGATTGGTGATTCAAATTTTGATTATTTATTGTCTACCTTCTTGGGTAAAACCTAAGATAAAATTACACTTATTAATTCAAATCTTATATTTTATATTTCTATACATGTGTATATATAGAAATAATTATTAATTCTATATTTATATATTAATATTGTTCAAGAAGATAAGTGGTGGCTCTCATTAACTGCATGCACCCCGCTTCTTTTTCATTAAAAAACTTAATGTTGTTTGGAATTTGAAAAGAAGCAAAAGCTTGACCAAAACGTAAGTGGATAAAGTGCTTAGATAGTAGTGGTTCTTATTTGATGCATGGATTGGTCTTTATTTTCATCATTGCTAGAGTTTAACTAAACATGAAATGCTGAAGTTTAATTGAAATGCGGGAGTTTAATTGAATATGAATGAATTCAACAATGTATTGTTTGTTGCATGCATAGTGTTATACTATTTTCATGGTTACAATTCAACTTTGCATGTTTTCTTTTTTCAATTGTAACATTATAATTGCAATGATAGAAGTTGTATTTGTAATTGCGACCATGATTTGCATATTGCAAGTAATGGTACCTAATCATAGGGAGTTCAAAAGGCTCATTTTTTTTTCCTACCATTGAATGTGATTAAAGCTGCATTTTTATTTTTATTTTTATTTTATTTTTCCAACTAAATGTAATTAAAGGTAAAGTTCAATAATTTAGAAAGAAGTCGACAATCAAATATTTACTATGCAAGGAGTAAGTTGTAAAGGGCAATTGAATTTTGCCAAGTGAATGTTTGACCTCGATCTCTAATTGTGTTGATAAGAACATAAATAGCAATGAAGTATGGCCCAACGTATAGGCTATTTGTGTGCCACATTGTTTCTAGCTCAATGGTGTTGGAAATTGGTTGAGTGTGTTGAATGATTACTTATTTTTGATATTACATTTGCTTGTAAGGTAAGAAAAATATACTAATAAATAGCGTTTGGAGTGAGGTGGATGTTCAATGTAAGTGTGGAGGTTGTCTATTGCAATTATTAACCATGCATTTTCTTGTGTGACAAGGCCAGAAACACTATCTCAAGTCATATAAAATTTCATTTTGGAATTTTTTTGATTCTAATCAAACTTTGATGCAATCAGCATGAATCAAATTGTCTATCACCAACACATTTCATCACACTTTAAACTATGCTTTAAATGAGGTAAAATTCTATCCACAATCTTACATTTATTAGCTATATCATTTGTATTACATTAGTTTGTTTTATTATGGATACTAATTTTATTTGTATTGTACTAATTTTGTTTGGGAAATAGGAAAAGATAAGGCTGGAGGTTTCAACTTTGTTATTTCTTTGGGTTTATAATTCTCAATTAGATTCGTAGGTATGGTATTCAAAATTTGAGTTTAAAATTTGGTATAGATAGGGTAACAAGTGAAAGTTGATTGACTTTAGTATATTGAAGTTGGTTTTGTCATTGTTGATTGAGAATTTAGATGTATAATATTTGGTGGATAAGTTATTCCATGACACAATATCATATCTTAAATCTATGCAAAGTTGAGATAGGCGTGTAGTTTTTCTTTCATTGTCGACCATGAACTCTTGAATAAAGAATTTATGCAATTCATGTATAGACAGAAGTGTTCCGAGATGTTCTTTTCTATTCTATTCTTGGTACTTACTTTAAAATAGAATATTTCTTTGAATTTTGTATTTTCCTAAATGTGTATCCATTGTTTCATTTTAGTGCATTATCTAAAACAATAATATGAGTATCTCTTCTACACAAAGACAACCTTAAATACATGTTTTAAAGTTTTGTGTGTAGTCTAAAACTGCAAGGACTTTTGTATGTATATTTCAATTGTTGTTGCACATAAACATCAAATTTGATCACTGTTATAATTATGTAAATTATTCAAATGCATAACTTTCCAAATATTATGGTCATATGAGTATAGCATTAAGAATAGCAAAAATCAATAGAATCTTTAGAGTGACAATATGTGTTTTCATTTATTTATTTATTTGTTTGTTTGTTTTTTATTTTTATTTTTATTTTTTTTGCTCAAGAAAAGACTTGCATATTGATGGCAATAATGATTTGCATATTGTGAGTAATGGTATCCAATCATAAGGAGTTCACAAGGTTTTTTATTTTTTTTATTTTTTTATTTTATTGCAATTGAATGTGATTTAAGATAAATGTGCGATTGATTGCAAGGCACAAGCTATGAGAGAGGAGGGGCAATAGGCGTGTTGCATAATACGAACAAAATTTTGTTCTAATTTATTCTAATAAGACTATTTTTTAAACTCAAGGATATTACTTGTTGCAGATTTAGTCGATTTATAGCAAGGGTGGAGATTCAATATTTATTGCTATATTATCTCTATTGCTATAGACTTTGCATATTTCTTTTTGTTGATTTCAACATTGTGACTATGATAATAGAAGCTGCATTTTTTTCTCTAGATGAACATAATGACTTTTATGTTATTTTAGATATATATATCCATGATATTATATTATCATTAATAAAATATTATAAAATATTATAAAAATATCATTTAATAAAGTATATTAAAAAGTAAAGTTTTTAGACATATAAATGAAATAATATAAAATTATTTCATATTATAAATGTGTCATAAATGAGCTTGAAATAAATTAAATATTTATTAATATATTTATGTACTTTATGTAATATTATCTAGAATAAAATTCATTCATGTTTAAATATAAAATATGTACATATTATCAGCTCTTTACATCATATTATCTAAATGAACATAATGACTTGAAAAAAATGACATATTATTCATGACAACAACACAACTTTAGTTGTCTATGAGGAGATAGTGTAGCAATATCGATTGGAAATGTAGCATTAACAACTCCATATCTATATCTATATATCCTTTTAATTAGCGATGAAAAAGTTGATCAGAACAAACATTTATAGAGCGAAGGCCTGGTTCATAATCAAGTGTGAATGCAAAACGTCCACTCATGACACTTGAACTAGTGAGGGTGACGTGTACAGGAAGGCACCGTGGCATCCTGAAGCCGAAGACGACAAAGAAGACGAGGAGGAAGGGCCATCGCCATAGCCAAAAGCAACGCCCCCACGGCGTAGCGCAAGCGGGGCCCAGCGAAGGAGGAGGAGGTGGAGGGAAGAGGAAGAAGTAGGTGAGGGAGGGAAGGAGGGAGGGCAGGCGGGCCCCGCGGAGCACTGAATCGGAATCAATCTCCTCGCTCCGGATTGGGCGACGCAGCAGCGATGCCACTCCAGCTCGCGTGGAGACGAGGGCCGAACTGCGGCGCCAAAGAGAGAAATTTTGTACCGGTTGGGCCACTTCTTCGAGGCGGACGAGCCGCAGGAGGGGAAATGGGGACGGAGAGTTCCAGCTGAGGTTGGGCTCCCAATTCGAGCCCGGATTATCGTCTCTCTCCTTCTCCTCTCCCTGCGTTGCTTGGTTGTTTGTCTGCGCATGGACCCTTACTCGTTCCGAATTTCATATAGGTTGATTGTTTGTGTGAGGAGGCTCTTGTACGGGAGCACCAGAGATGGCGCGTGAGCTCAATGGCGAGGCGAGTTGAGAGCGAGCGTGCGAGGGCTCGCGCGAGAGAGAGAGAGAGAGAGCGAGAGTGAGCGAGCTAGTTGTTGGGTCAAGACCGCTGATAGATTGGCGGCAAGTTGGAGATTCGTCTGGGGATTCGCGATGTGCTTTATTCTCGAGGTTTTAGGTTTGGGGTTTATGTTCAGTGGAGTTTGTGAAGGTGTACAGCGAGAGGCCGATTTCCCAATACGGGATCGGGGGTGGGCACTGTGTGGGTCAGCATGGAATCGTTTTTATTTATTTATTTATTATTGTTGTTGATTCAGAATCTTTCCCCATTAGGATTACCTATTTTCCAGTGAAAGTCCGGAAATTCCTGGCATTTCAGACACAACGGCGGAGTTTCTTTTCTGGAATTAGATGTTGTTTCTGCTCCTTGTTGCCCTCATGTCGTCTTTGTCCATTAGGTCTCTAGCCGGTGAAGGTTGGTGAGGTAGTCGAGCTTTCAGTTTGCAATGTGATCATTGATCGTCGGGCAGATTAGTGGCCTGACGGATGATAGCTTGTAATCTGAACACCTTGTGGAGAGTAATCATTTTCGAATGAGACTCATGTTCATGTGCTGCGCTCACGACGGACATGGTTTCTTACTTTGGATTCGCAGATTGATTGGTGTAGTTGTTAAATTATGTGATACAGGTTTCCTTCCGTTCACTTAAACTCTATATTTTTCTTCAGACATAGTCGTACTAGATACTGCGAATTTCTGATGAAGCTCTGGTTTCAGATTAGAGCTTTTAGCATACATGAAACACCGCATAGTTGTTTCTGTAAACGTCCCCTGCAGATTCCGAACCTCTCCAAGATAGGTTTTTTATCCAACGCTGGAAATTCTGAAGAAGTCCCTCCCCTGCTGAGAGCTGGTCTCAGGACACTTGAAAGATGGACGCGTTTGATAACAGAAGAAACTTCACCCCGGATGTGCATCATTTTCAGGAACCCGCAAATGCTCACTGGGGTGGTGGCGATGCCCATCGGGTCCTAGTTGTTATTGACGCGACGAAGGCGTTGTCGTGCACAGTTACGGATTGGGCGCTAGACCACGTCCTTCAACGTGGAGACATCTTAAAGCTACTTGGTGTTCTGCAGCAGACTTCTACTCCTAGCAAGGCCGGTTTTCAAGCAGGTCTTTCAAAATGTAAGCACCTCAATAAATTGTGACTTCGGGAATTTGGAGGCAACGTTATACTGCAGTTTAGTATTTGTATGCAATCCATAGGGTCTTACCCTTGACAAATTCTTGCGAGCTTTTTATTCAGATCAATTTTGTTGGCAGAGCTAGGTCTCAACCTGTTGTCGTGTTTGTTGCAGTGGGATACAAATCTTCGGGTGACGAGAAGGGTTTGAATCGCTACTTTTTGGAGTCGGAAGTGCAGAGCAGAAAGAATGCCCTTTTAAGGAATTTAGACCTTCATCTGAGATGTCAGAAATTGGGGGTAAAATAATATATTTATTTAGATTTCCTCGTTACTACCCGCATGTTTTAGCTTATTGTAATAAGTCATTGCAAGCCTTAGGAAATAAATCCAGCTAGACTGGATAACAATCATTAGAAGAAGAATTCTTTAGGTGTTAATGTGTCTTTTCCCCCTTTTTCTTCTCATGGGGCATGTTTAAACTAGGAACCTATTGTTGTCTGTGTTTTTGTATGCAGGTGACTTTGGACATTGATGTTCAAGTTAGTCGTGACCTTAAGACCCTTGTCGTGGACGTTGCGAAGAATTTTGGAGCGCATCATGTTGTTCTAGAAAGGTGTGTTGCTTACTTCTTCGTCAATGTTTCGACATATGCTCGCCAGTGCTTAGAGTGCTTCTTTACAGTAGGGAATCAATTCAGCATAATCTAAATTTGCAAAGTGGTCACCTTGGTCGCTAGGAGTATGAAGAAAGACAAGAAATACTTCATCGACAACCTCACATGCTACGTAACGCGTGTGAAGACTTTTGACACTTATCAACCACTGCGGCCTGGGCTTCACCCAGATATGATAATGCGGCCGATTAGCCCTGCATTCGGTTCACAGTCTACTGCCATCGCTAATCATAGACGTTTGCAACAGCGTCCCATGACAGCAGACAGTGACCTTCACAGTATTCAGGATGAAGCTGAAGTTATTGAATCTGAGGCTGAGTCCAAGCGGGAGAGTATGGCATATATTGATCCGATTTTGAGACAGGATATAATTGCAGTGAGACAGTGGCTGGAGGACCAAGGTAGTCCAGGGCTAGGTAAGGTCCTGACCGTAATGGATTAGTAGGAAATTGTTGTTTAACATGCTTGGAGTAAGATAAAATGCTGCTACTACATCCGTGCGAAGTTCTGTCAAGTGTAACTTTGTTTATACAATACTATATATCTGTATTACTCAAAGTCTTCAGTTAGGGTTGGTCTATACATTGGCACAGTATGTTATATTGCAAAATATGTTTCAATATTGGCGATTTGTGGTATAATGACAAGTATATACTCCTTTAACCAGATCTCTCTCTCTCTCTCTCTCTCTCTCTCTCTCTCTCTCTCTCTCTCTCTCTTTCTTGCGCGCGCTGCTTGTGTGCGTATCTTTTATTCTAGTATTTTACATGCACGGACTTGTATCTAGTTGTTTTCCCTCGAGCCGCCATAGTAGTATGTGCTGATCAAGCTGATGGCAGGTATGTACTCTCGGGAGGAATCACTGCGGAGAAGTGCGTCGCCAAGTTCAGATATTGTTAGTCTTACAGAGGATTCATGTCTGGAGTACAGAAAAGACTTAAGCAATAGGTTGGAAACGACGGGTTCGGTACGGCAGGGAAGTGCAGAGACTTTTAGCGATTCTTGTATTTCACCAGCATCAGATGGTTCTCCTAATGTGAGCTCTTCTGTTACTCAACCTTCGAAACCGCAACTTCCATCAGTTAGACATCTGCCATGTGCCAATGAATTAGCTAGTAACTCTCCAACTGTCATCTCGACTTCCGCCTATCCTAGAATATCAACTTTGGGACGATCTGATACATCGTCACCTGCGGATAACGATCCTAGAAATGGCAATGGTGCACAATGGGGCCCCATTTCAGTTCAACCTCGACGGGTTGATGCAAGTTGGACATTACATAATCTGAATGAGTTATTGAATGGAGATCTTGGGAGTTATTTGACTCCGCCTACGAAAGTGAGCACAAAACAAATGGAGGTTAATGCTGTACCAGTCTCAAGACCAGTTCCACCCAAAAAGTCTACGCAAGCTTTGTCTTCAACTCGGTTGAATTTTGTGCAATTACAAGCACCAAATCAACTGAATCCTGTGCAGTCACTTGTTCCTAGAGGCATTGTTCCGGTGCCAGTTCAGAGATTTACGGATAGGGTAGCTAGTGACAGGCGACCAGTGATTACGAAGAAGCCGGGTCCTTTAGCGCCCTTCCTTTGCACTATTTGTAAACACAAAACACCAGAATTTGGCAAGCCAGTGCGACGATTCTCTTACGCCGAGCTCTGCAATGCCACGGATTATTTTAATCATCGCAATTATCTAGCCCAAGGTGGTTATGGGTCCGTGTACAGAGGAACTCTGCCGGAGGGGCAATTGATTGCTGTGAAGCAACACAAGATTGCAAGCTCGCAGGGTGATGATGAGTTTTGTGCGGAGGTGGAGGTTCTGAGCTGTGCGCAACATCGTAATCTTGTTACACTTATTGGTTATTGTGTGGAAAACCACAAACGCTTATTGGTGTACGAATACGTCTGTAATGGTTCACTAGATAGACATCTCTCGGGTAAGAAAAATACGAACCACGACATCCTTATGTGTTGTTTGGGAATGCTTCTCTGTCTTCTTTGCGTGGACATTACGTCTGACCTTGTGCATGCCGTTTTCAATATGAGCTGTTTCTGAGTCCTTCACTGTTACCTTTGCAGCGAAGAACAGAGAGAGTTTGCCTTGGAAGTATAGACAGAAGATTGCCCTTGGCTCAGCAAGAGCGCTTCGGTACTTGCATGCAGAGTGTCGTGTTGGCTGCATTGTTCACCGAGATATGCGGCCTAATAACATCCTACTCACTCATGATTTCACGCCCATGGTAGGGGATTTTGGTCTTGCCAGGCGACAAATGCATGGCGACTTGGCAGAAGAGACTCGTGTACTTGGTACTTTGGGGTAAGTATGAGGATATTTAGCATCAATTTCACGAGATTGATCCCTGTCAGCTGCAACTGGGAAACCCTGGAAACTCTAGCTGTAAACCTCTTCAAACGCATCCGTAGTATTGAAGAGCTTAGTACTCAAGAGTTACCATGCTAGAATCAGTTATTCTAGAGAGAGAATGTTCCTCACGTTTACAGCTTATACTACCATGAACTAGGAATTTTGAAGCTCCAAAACAACACGAATCGGAAGTGATGTGAAACATAAAAAAGTCAATGGGCATATGAAACTGTTACAGATGTTGAAATTTACTTAAATGCGTTGTCTCAATATCAGGTACCTTGCACCCGAATATGCTGAGACTGGTCAGATTACGGAGAAAGCAGACGTTTACGCGTTTGGTGTGGTGTTATTAGAGATTTTAACAGGGCGTAAAGCAGTTATTCAGCAAGGCGCTAAAGGTGGTGTTTTTCTAACAGACTGGGTAAGGAATCAAGTAAGCTTTGCCATGCGAATATTTGTCAAGATAATTCTGTCCACCAAGTAACTGTTGGACAGTCTGATAAATAGCTGTATCTTTGGATTTTTAATTTTAAAGTTCTAATGCCTTCATTATTTTGTTGTTTGCCTCGTTATTTTATCTGCATTATTGGCATTTTTAATGAAATACAAAATCCAGAATCAACACTACGATGTGTAACAGTCCTGGTGTTCTAGACGCTGATATTTATGGTTACTTGTTACTTGATCAAATTACATCCTCCTTTTTTTATGTTCTACACTCTGATCACTAAAAGCGTCTGTAGATTTTTCTTTTAAACGAAACGCGATATACCGCAAATTGCAGGCAAGATCACTGCTGGATAGACCCGACCTCGAATTGATTGATCCACGTCTAAGAGGAGCTGAATATGACAATAATCTCTTCGAGATGCACTGCATGATGCATGCTGCCAGACAATGCATAAAAAAAGATCCTGCAATGCGACCTCGTATGGCTCAGGTGTGCCTGCCGTGCTCATGTGATCGATATTTGTTGGCATACTCAACTTGGAAGTGAAGCCTCTTTTATGTCCTGTCAGTAACCTCTTATTTGTATTCAACTGTTGACCTTACGGCTGTGTTATTCATTGGCATACCCTGATGGCAACTATGTGGGTTTTCAGGTCCTAAGAATTCTGGACCCACAGCAAGACAGCACAGAATCAATTCGTGCTCTTTCCGTTGGAGGAAACAAGCTTGTCCATGGGCAGCTTTCCTTGTACGCTCCTACGCCAGCGGTAGATTATGATAGACCAAAATCTGTTCCTGCTGTGTCGGACACTCAAAGTGATAGTACACATCCTTGGAACCCCACTAGTAAGCCTTCTCGCAGTCCTTTAGTTCGGATAAAGAAACCGAGCAAAAATATATTTTTGAAGGCAAGTAGATGTGTCTCTGCTCCTCGTCTCTCATATGATGAACAAAGGAATCTAGAAGACGAGGAAGATGGATTGAGGGAGGGAATGCTTTTGTCTTATAACAGTATGCTGGAATTCGTGTGAGACGCAATAAAGCTGTACATCAGGAGTTTATATATTACTTTTTGCCATGACCAGAATAAGGGTGTTTCATTTTGATTAACGCCGCTTCTTTTCTGGAGCAAGTGAGGAAATTAGCTGATTGGATTCCAGTATCATGTGCCAGAGGTTTCGGGAACTAACATGCTCCTAAGATTGAGAAAGCATATCATGAGTAAATGAAGCTTGGGTTTGGGCTGAGTCAAGTGTTGTTGGTCTTAAGCATGGAATTTATGAGTTTTATTCTTAAGATCTTCTCCCTATTGAATCTGTAAACTATTGAATACTAGAAAGTGCTGTTTCATGAGAGTCTTTTTAAGACCAATAGACTTATTCCTCTTTTATTGATAACGAAGTTTCAAGGCCTTGACTGTAAGCGTGGAGTCAAATTGAGAATTTTACTTTGATGTCACCTGTTTATTTATGTTCACTTAATCCATTGTGATTCGATTCCAAGTTGGAGAGAACATCTTATCAATCTTTTTTGGTCAACTTAAAACCTTAGACTTGTGTTACACAACTTCTGTTGAAGGCTCTAAGTGTAGCATATTCTCCATCTTGTGTAGCCTGTAGCAATCTTGCAAAATTCAAAGATCCATGTGTGATCCAAGTCCATGTTTCTATGTAGATATAAGTGAAGCATTGGCACAGTAAACTGGCACATTAAATAATATTTTTAATGTATTTGTAACTCATGGATTTGATTAATAATTGGCATACTTATGGCTACAGACCTCTTCATCAATATTAGGTTTGCAATGGATAATATTTTGTTTATTGTCTATCATGTGTTTCATTAATAATTAGTTGAATCTATGCCATTGTCACAGAAAATATGCCATTTAGAATTGAGACTACATGTTCAAACAAAGCATCCTTCAAGTAGGAGCACAACAAGGTATGGCTCATTTCACATCCTTTCTATGCACTTCATGATGATTTTGCTTGCTCCAACAACTCATTGGCTATTGACATCTATATACTTGGGCTTGCTAATAATTGCAACATAGAAAGAAGCTAGTTGAGTGTAAAATGTTGGTTAATTGACAAGTTTAGTTCAAGTACACATAGTAACCAAAACAAATGAAATAAAGCAAAATCAACATGAGGTATTATATGATTTTTGGCCAAACAAACTAATTTTAAGAGGCAACTTTAGAATTGGTTCTAATAACCATTTCAAATCTTAAGAACTAATTCAAGACAATTTTTCAAAGAATCACTCAATAATGGTTTTGAATCAACAATAGAAAATATGACAATAAATCTTTGAATTTGTTTGAAAACAAAAATGGAGAGTGTTACCATTTCCAATGTTAGCCTTAGTTTCTTTCTCCAAGGTTTCTATGTGCAATGTAGCCACAATATATTTTGACAAAGCCCCACATTTTCAAACTGCATGAAAGAACCTTTTTACTTGTTCTAGTATGCTCTCTTCAAACATCTTGTATCCATCTTCAAAGAAGGTCATTTCAATCAAAGATCAAATATGGAATCCAAAAAATGGAAAGTTTTTGAGGATTTATGTAATCTACATCTTTGTGGAAGAATTCTATATGCAAAAAATATTAATAGATCCAATAATAATATTTATGGATATTGCATCATTCAATCATGTTTTTAATGAAAACTTTTGCTTCATTATTTTCATCAAAAATTTTGATAAAAACAACAATAATTGAGTTGAAAGCCAATGTAATATCCTTTTTTGAAGTAGAAATAAATCATATGTGTTGTTAAAGCCATGTGAATTTGTAAACCTAGTTTTATTAAGGCCATGTGAATTGTTGTAGCCAATTAAAGATCAAATTTGTCTCCTCTAGTTTATCCCATTAGTTTATCTCCTCCTAATGTGCTTTATATAAGAGACTATTGCATCTTGTACTTTGACTAATTTTTCTTTTATTATATGTGTGTTTTTATTCTTGAAACAATAGATCTATTTAAAGTTTGTATTGTGGTCAAAACATCCATTCAATTCTTGTCACATTCATTGTTAATCACTTTTTTGCCTGAAAGTATTTATAATTTTATTTAATAACTTATTGTATTAACTTTGTAGAATAATTGCAAAATTTCTAAAAATCTACTAATAGACTCAAATTATATGGTCTTAATAGGGATATTCTACTTTTTTTTTCAATTACTTCTAATATTTTAAAAAACATTGTGTGATGAAGATATACTACCTCGTTACAAATTCCACATTTTTCTGAAATGTAGTTTCAATCAATGAAGTTGCAACCTAAATAAACATTACATAAATATTATTGTAATTTATAATAATTCCAGAATAAATTTCAAGTCCTTCAAAAAAATTATTTGAATCTACTCAAATAAATACTACTTTTTGTAGAATGCTACAATTGCTCCACACAAAAAGTGACTTTTATAATCCAAAAAACATATGGTAAGCTTCTTTCTCAAGATATAGTTTTCGAAGTCACAATTTGTTTTTCCATTACCAAAGAATGACAGATAGAAATAATTTATGATTCTCAAATTTAGGTCATTGCATAAATTAATGCATTATCTTTCTTTTTTGAGGTCACAAAAGTAGTTTATTTCTACACTCTTATGTGACACATACCAAAAATGAACTGTATTTTTTCAACATTCCAATGTTGATTTTATTTTTTTATTTTTATTACACATTTATTCATTTAACATGCACCATCTAAAGGAACATCATTATCAACACTTTCATTCTTGCTCAACTTCATTAATCACAATTTTAGACTATTAAGCAACTCATGTTGAAAGAAAATTTGAAGGAAATTACATAAAATATGCTTAGAATGCTACATAGATGCATTAGGAAATCCATACTCTATCACAATAAGTTAATGACTTGGGCATCTTATTATTATTAGTAGCTACCATTTGGAGAGTTTTCAGATATTAAAGTTTTAAATATAGAAATGCTATATTAAGTTGGATATCTGTCTACAAAGGTAGTGAGTACAAGAATATTGAATATGTACTAGTTTTAAATATTTTTCTATCCCACATTGGTTCGATTCTAAAAAGAATATTGAATACAGGTTCTGTACTGATTTTTTTAAAGGATGTTTCATGAATAGTATTATATGAAATTAATTATTTGATGTATGTGATTGGTACTATCAGGTTTTCACAAGTAGATAATTTTTTTTGGTCAATTTTCAAAGTATTTCGTCTTTGTAAATTAACTTGCATTACTCTACTAATGATCTTGATTTTTCTTCAGAATTTAGATTCTCAATTACTAATATAAGTTTTATAAGTTAAAATTGAATCAAGAAAAGATTTTTTTTTTTTTTTTTTTTTTTTTTTTTTTCCTTCATTTTTTGATAAATGAAAAATTCTTATATTTTACAAGGAATAAAAGTGCAAATGTGGCACTTATTAATTCTAAATTTTGTTGAGTAAAATCATATATCTTTTAATAAGATATTGATTCTTCTTATTGAAAGAGGCATTTTTATGTATTTCTTGAAATAATAAATAATACATCCTTTTTCTAATCTTTTTTTCTTATCGGCTGATCAAATTTTAACTTTGTGAGGTAAAAAAGTGGTGTCATAAAAGTAGTATCATAAAATTAAATACTTCATTACATGGTTTATAACATTATGCTATAACTCATCAACCAAAAAATCATTTTTTTCTCAATCTCAAACTTAGTCGGTACTTGTTATTTTCTACTTAAAATTAATTTTTTAAAGCATGAGAACCTCAATGCTTGTTATCTCTTATTTTGTACAATTATGTGATGAGCACAAACATATATTTCCAATTGTTCATTAAGAATTGAAACTATTTTATTCATATAAGATTAAGTATACTTGTTTTTTGAGGATTATTTTTCTCTACAATAATAATAATAATAACATATATATAAATCCATTACTATTGTGATGTAATGTCTTGAATAATAAAAACCTATCCAATGGAAAATTGTCACACTTAAAAAAAAATATCTTGATTTTTTCATTTGAAGAAACATACACATAGAGATTGCTTGTGGTGGTCCTATTAGCTACAATGCTGATAATTGTCATTGAAAAAAATTCTTTGCTATAGTGGTTCTAAAAAATAATTATTTACAAAAATTCGTAATTTATATTTTTGGTAATCACAACATCAAACCTCATGAAAGAACTAATTCATTGATTATTGATTTTTGGGTGGTAAAATAAATATGACTAAATTTTGTCAAAAAACATGAGATATGTATTATTATAAAATAGAAATATAATGTTGTGAAATACATATGAACTCTTTATTCAACCATCAAAGATTCAATAGAACTAACCACTTTAAATGAGCCTTAGATTTTAATTCTTATAGCACAAGTATGTGGTCTATTGATGTGGACTTTCTAGTACAAATATTCTAACAATAGTTTAGCCATTGAGGTCCAATTAACATAAAGACATTTGTCTTATTAGGCCACATGACAGCTTGATAGGTGGCAATAATTATATGTTGATTACCATTTAATATGGTGGCTATGAATTGTCAACCAATAACGTGGTTTCAACTATTTACATAAGTAATTATATAATATCTAATAAGAATTATGTATATATGTAAACATTCTTTTGATACTTCTACTTAATGATATATTAGCCTAATTCAATTTAAAGATTTTCATTATTTCATTGAATTTATAATGTCTCTCATAAGTTAAGCCTTTGGTCAAACATCTACAACCATGTCTTTAGTCTTGCAAAAAACTAAGTTGTTCTTGCCATTTTCAATCTTCTTACAAAGTGATGAATTTTAACATACTTAATATAAGCATAGAATATAAGATTTCTTAAAAGAAAAATAAAATTCTATTTATTATTAAAAATAATAATAAAACCACCTTATAAAAAGCCTATAACTTTGAATAACTAATAAAGCTAGACTGCTTCTTTTGTTGCATGAATAGCTACCATGTACTTTGTTTTGGTGATAGATAATGCAATTGTTGGTTGCTTCTTTTTATCTTAACTAATAATACAACCAACCTAAAAAAATGCTTAGCTAATAGTGAAATATCAAGTGTCAATATCTCATGCATAATCTGCATTGCAATATTCAACTACTTGCAAACTTAAAGAGCTTTGACCATATTATAGTATATGATCCAATGTGCCTTTCAAATATCAAAAAACCTCCTTAACTACAATCTAATATTTTAGGCCAATATTT